AATAATCCTGATGCTCCTCTTTGTCTTAAACGTAAATTCAATTCCTTGTCTTCCCTTCGTTCAACTGGTTTGCGCACCAGATCTTGCGCTTTTAATCTTCAAGTTCCCTTCCTGCGGTCTAACTCTGAAAAGCGCACATTTGCTTTCTCTGCTGCCACCCTTTTTTATTGCCTTGATACTGATCTTAAGCAAATAGTTAGTGTATCTCTTTCTTCTACTATTTTTTCATCTAGATTAGACAATTTTAGCATAAACTTCTTATCTTATTCCTTAAGTCTGCCAGTAATGTTTCTCGCCTTGAGGAATTAACGTGTTACGATTGTCGTTTTTCTCTTTATTGTGACTGTATTAGAAGTTAATTGTTTATATCATATATATATATATATATATATATATATATATATATGATATTATATCTATGTTAAACCATACAATTTATAGTTTTAGTTTCTCTCGTAGTAAGTCGTTTTGCTGATTAGTCATTATTTTATATATGTATTTGTACTGCTGTGAAGGCCGTAAGTTAAATAACTCATTGGGTTAATTACGTCACTTTCGTTAAACAAAGAATATTGTATTGTATCTTAAAAACGTTGATAGGTTTGCCCCTTTTTAGACAATTTTTGGGTCACATTTTAATCCTGTAGGGTTTTTAAAATCTGTGCGCAATGAGTATCAAATCAGAAAGGCATCATGCAATTATAAATGAAGTTATCCACAGGAATTTCCGGTGAAAGATCATGAGAATCGACTAGTCACAGAGCTATAAACATTTCTTTTACTATTATTTTTATACGTTTGTTTTAGATTGACTTCTGGAGAAGCCCAAGTTATCTTTTCCAGGCAGTTGATATTGAAGTTTCAGAGAAAGATTTCTCAACCCTTTCCTCCATCCTTGAAGGCCATGGTATCGATTTCGAAGTCCAAATCAATGATGTGCAGAAATTGATCGAAGAGGAGCTTGAAACGGTTGGAGGAAGGAGTGGAGGATGGCACGATAGATATCACAACCTTGAAGAGGTACGCATGCTCAAGAAATAATAAAGCCAAGAGAATGGACTCCCATACGGATCCTAATGGAGTTCTCTGTTAAGAGACGGGTCATTTCATTTTATTGATTCCCCTCTAAGACTCTTTAGCATTCTTATGACATCTTTTAACTGGCAGTCAATTTTCTATTATCCCCTCGTGACAGTCCTCCAACGAATTAATTCTGATCAAATTTTTGTTTTGTCTTCTTTTGTTTCGTTTACTTTTTTTATTAGATTCACTCTAAATTGAATGAGTTCAGTGGACGCATGGCATCTATCTTATATCTGGGAAGGTCACACGAGGGAAAGGAAATGCGGGCCATACAGGTTTGTTAAGCGAATTTATTGTCATGTTTTGCCAAGTTTCCATTCACAATCCGTGTCAATCTTCTCTATTCTGAGTCCTCTACGCTCATTTTTTGTTCATACATCACCTTTTGGTGTTTTTCAACCTCGGCCAATGATTAGTTCACGGTTTTATGAAAGTTACAGGTAGTTGCTTTAAGCAAGCTTATTGGTTGCGATTTTTATGGTGAGATTTTTTATTTTTGCTTTTAGATAAAAGGAAGGGGCCGTTATAACAAGCCGGTGTTTTTCATTCAATGTGGAATACATGCCAGAGAGTGGGTGTCTCCGGCAACCTGTATGTACATCATAGACCAGGTGCGCTCATTCATTGCAAAAAAAAGTGATGTAATTACGAGATAATAATAATAATGATACCTTATTTGCATAGAGCTATTTCTATCACGGTCCAATAGCGCTTTACAGTGACTGAATTAAACATAAAGTGCTTGAAAATCCCAACTGTCAGGAGGCAGACCAGTTGGTTATTTACTCAGCGCAGCTAAGGAGTTAAACTCGGGGCGATCGAGAACAAACCCAGGGAAATGGCAGGGTGATGGATTTAAACCTGGGGCCACCAGATTACGAGTCCAGCACCCCAACCACTCGGCCATGCTGCCTCCTTCCTAGTCTCATATAAAAGTAACAAGAGCTCCCCATTATGTACGATGTCTTTGTCTCTCATGGTAATTGAGAGATAAATAAGCGTTAGGCGAGGAGTAGGTGCCCAGTTGTTCAGATACTGACACTGATCCCAAACTTTTTATAGAGAAGTGCATAATTCATAATCATTCAAATCGAATTTCACTGGTGTAGATATTGACTATCTAAATGATAAATTTACCACTTGATCTTAGCCCTTTAATCCTGTGAGTGACCAAGACAGAAATCCTCCTTAAAATATCAATACAATATCAAACAGACAATTAATGAGAATATAGAAAGATGTTAATTAGGGGATTATTACTTGATCCAATACTAAATTCTCCAAACTAACATCACAAGAAAGTAAGGAGAATTACTAATGAGATCTTGGGAGTTAAAGGGTTAAGCTGTAGGAAAGAGAAAAATAACTTTATTTTTTTTTATTTAGATGACTCAGAAGTATGGAAAAGATTCATCAGTAACGGCTCTCTTAGATAAGATGGATTTCGTGATATTGCCAGTCCTAAATGTTGATGGATACGCTTACACCTGGATAAACCCGGTCAGTTCAATTCCGTAAAGTCTTTTAGAATTAAGCATTTCTGGTGACAATTTGTAGAACGCGAGATCGATAGTTCTTGTTTCATTTGCACAACTCCACCCAAAATCTGTTCCCCAACATTTAGCTGTAAAATTCTCATTTGATTGTCATTATCATTATCTATCTCTTCCGCTAATTCTTCTCCCGCTTCTCTTCGTCCTTCCTTTCTTCCTCCCTCTCTTCCTCTCTTCCGTCTTCTCCACTTTTCATCATGATCCTTCTCTGCCTTCTCTTTATCATCATCATCATCATTTTCATCATCATCATCATCATCATTTTCATCATCATCATCATCATCATCATTTTCATCATCATCATCATCATTTTCATCATCATCATTTTTATCATCATCGTCATCATTTTCATCATCATCATTATCACCTTTTGCTCCTTCGCACTTTTCATTGTTTTCTCCTCTAATTCCCTCTCTTAATTTCGCGTTCCTTCTCCTTCTCTTCTCCTCTATCGTCCTCCCTCTCCTCCACTCTATCCTCCGCTTCTCCTACCCTCTCTCTTACCTCTCCTCCCTCTCTTCCGTCTTCTCCTCTTCTCATCATAATCATCCTCTGCCTCCTCTTCATCGTCATCATCATTATCATCGTCATCATCATCATCACCTCTCTCATAGAGAGACAGGAAATATCGTCTTTGGAGGAAGAATCGTCGTTACCATGGTTCAAGATATCGCTGCCATGGCGTGGATTTAAACAGAAACTGGAATCATGGTTGGGGAGGTAGGTTGTGGTAACAGAGATTTTACAAGTGAAAAAAGAATTATGTTGGCCGTCTCGTTACTTTGTTTGTTTTCACCTTTAAGTTACTCCTAATATCACAGAAAAGCTCGTTTGCATTTGGATGGGTGCTTACTTGTAGTGTATTAGACAGCGGGCACTTTTGCCATAGGTGACGTTTTTATCGATATATGGGTGATCTTTGACAGATGCTGATTAAAGTTGAGTAACTTTTTGTCATAAAAATAAATCTCTGAGTAATGGTTAACTTCAATGTTTTATAACAGGCTCTGGGGCCAGCCACAGGCCATGTGATACCACCTACAGGGGTTCGTCACCTTTCTCTGAGATCGAAACCCGTAATGTTCGCAACTATTTGGAAGGAATGGGAGGAAAGCTGAAGGGTTTTATCGATTTCCATGCCTACAGTCAGATGTGGTTTATTCCGTGGGGGTACACTTCCAGAAGAACACCGGACTATAGTGAGCAGGTTTAAAAAGTTCCTTACGTCACCTATAAATGTTGGCTTTTGAGTATTGAAAAAAATGTTGCTCATGCCCTGTTTATGGGTCAAAATAAGTATGAAAATGTTTTTTAGCCTAGTTGTTTTTATGTAGATAAGGGACTTCTGCTGGGTTTTAGTATCTGAGAAAGGGATCGACTAATCGGCCCAAACAGACAGACTGACAGACAAACTGTCTGACTGACTTCCCGACAGACTGGCCGACTGACCGACTCACTGGCCGACTGATCGACAGACTGACAGACTGACAGACAGATTGACCGACTGACTGACTGACTAACTGACTGCCAATAACAAGCGGACAGACAGGGAGACAGACGGTCATACAATCGGTAGACACTCATGATCAAAACAAAGTCAGACTGATAAAGATAGATAGGCAGACAAGCAGACAAACAGACAGAAAGAAAGAAAGAAGAAAGAAATTCAAAATGGACATTTCAATGTTTTTGATCAACTGCGTGTTTTTTTTTCCTATTGCCAGATAAGAGTCGCTAAGGCTGCCTCAGATGCTCTGAGAAGGGAACATGGAACAAGATTTAAATATGGCTCGTCTGCATCTCTGTTGTGTGAGAATCAAACAATGATCTTTTATCCTTAATATTTATTTTATCTTAAGCACTAAAAGAACTAAGAACATTGAGGAGAGAAAGTTGAGAAAACGTGGAATTCGTGTTTAAAAAAAATAGACGGAAAATCGCACGAACAGGTCAAAACGTCTACTTAAAATAGATTGGACAGCTCCAATCGATTATGGACGGCAACAAACATTTTCGAACCGTGTTATCTAATTTCCAACACTTCCGCCCGGTTTTGTGGGCTCATTTTTATTTGACCCTTATTTTCAGATCCTGCGTCTGGAGGCTCGGAGGATTGGACCTACGGAAAGCTTGGAGTGACTTACTCGTTTTCCGTAGAGTTACGTGACACAGGTCGTCACGGTTTCTTACTGCCAGCCTATCAAATCATCCCAACAGGAGAGGAGACATTCGAAGGGTTAAAAGCCTTGGTCAGAGAAATGAGAGTGTAATCATTCAAGGAGGATAAAATTGTAATGTGCAACTTCTGATTATAAAACGAATAAAGAAAGCTTAACACATGTCAATAAGCTTATTTTCTCAATGCCTAAAAGCTGTCATCTAAGACTAGGATCACTATACTCTTGTTTATTGCATATCATTTGATTTTGGTGATCTATTTTAAGGGACGGATACACCCCGTGATTCACGTATTGTTCACCTCTTTCTGAGAATTATTCTCATACCTCACAACTACTCCAAAACACTGCATAAAAGTTGGCGAGAATCTTACATGCTCCATTTCCAAATGATCAAAACGCTTTTTCAAACTGTTTGAATTTAACAAGTCAAAAGAAACACTTTTTGAACCAAAATATAACACCCTCCCCTCTCCCTTGGCCTTCTCTGTTGTCGACCGCTGCCGGTAGACGTATGACGGAGACCTTACAGAACGAGGAAGCCTGAAACTAGTTGAAAGGGAAACAAACATGGCGGCTGATGTAGGAGTGATGAGTGACAAGTACTTTCTAGATGCTATTGAAGGTAAATAAGTATTATTCAGGTCGTCTGGGATGTAGTTTCTAATGAAAATTATTTCTCAATAACTGGCGCCACTATGCAGGTACAACAACCACGTCTTTAAAAATGAAGAGCTAATAGAGCTGATGTTCGTTTGTTCGACAACATAAGATTTTTACACGTAACACATTGCAGATTGTTTTACTTGCATAATTGTTGATTGCCCTAAACAAGTGTATGTGCCAGTCCTACAGGGAAGAGTAAAAAAAGTACATAGGGTTGATACCTCAAACTGCATCGCAAAGAATTTGTGTTCGTTTCAGAAGAATCACTGAGTTGGCCTGTGTTGACAGCTGCCTGAGCCAGGCTTCTCAACAAAGTGGATTGATAATATTTTGAGATTCTAAAAATTGCGAAGGCTTATCTTCAAGGAGGCCTTGGTTAATCTCTATAGCCTTGACTCAAATCGATAGACGCTCAAGCTTCGATGATCATAGCGTGAACTTCTTTCACAGACATTAGTCTAATTTTCTTTATTTCTTTAATCATAGGCAGTGTGCATGGATGCCTCTCTTCGATTTCAAACGTTTCGGAATATTCTTGTGATTTTAAAAGACTATTTAGTAAATGCTTTTTGGCCAAGCGTCAGTATTCAAACCAATAATGAAATAGCAGAACAACAGGGGTAACTTTCCTCGGTTGTGAAGTTCATTTGTATTACGATGTGTTTTGGAATGCCCTGGAGTGCCGTTAATCAATTTATTGCATGCATATTCAAACCATAACCTGATAAAACATTTTCAAGAGAGGAAGAATCCGCTATAAGTGTTTTTAATCGATTGTCAAATTTATCTGGGTTTACAAGGACGTTTATTCTTTAAGAATATATAGCTTTAGTTCACAAGACTGACATTTAATTTTAAACTTGATGAAAAACGAAAACACTGACCCTAAAGAACGACGAAAAACGATGTGAACTTATCGAAAGCAAATCAAAAGCGACCTATTTCAAAGTAATATTCTATTGTTTTGTTCCTCTCACAATCACGTGCACGTTGGTATTTATTTCCTGTTCAGTAATCCTTCTGTCCAGATATGTCACTGATCCTTTAACTGTATATTCAATACCAAAGCTTTAATTCCTTCAAAAGCTTCTCTTGCTGTGGGAACTATTAGCCTGGCAGGAAGAAGGAAGCCGTGTCTTCCAGTGTCTCTCAATTCCATCGAGAATGTGTATTTTACTTTTAAATGCCCATAAAGATAATCTTTCATCGTTCCTGATTCGATATCTGCAAGATGATCACAAAATTATATAAACTACTACTGTAAAACACCTCTAATTTGAAATACAGGTGGAGGTAAAGCTCTAAAATTTAAAGAAATGAAAGCTTTCGTTCTGAGGCACAGCTAAATGGTTTGGAACTTCGCAATGCAACCCGAAAATACCAATTTTTGGAATACAAGAAAACAGATCATGGTTTGGTCACCCACGGTGCCATTCGATTACATGTCATAAGACCAAAGTTTCCTCAATAGCCAATCAGAGCACGGGAATTTTCATAAGCAGCCAGTGAGAACTCAAATTAAATATAGGCAAGTAAATAAGGCGCGAAGCCCCTCCTCTGATTGTTTAAGAAAGCAAAACGTGCTTTCAGAATCAATCGCAAAGCGATTCAGTCCTAGATTACTTCTAAAAATTGTAAAAATTTAAGACATTGCAATTCACGTGTTTGTGAGTAACGTGTATGTTAGGAATAATTAAAAGTGAAGCAAAACACAAAAGCACTATAATCCCAGAATTGTTCTTATCGTTTCCTGTCATCATTAATTAAATAAATTACGTACATAGGATGTCAGATGTTTGTCCAAATACATAGCTGGTGTTGTCGCCTCCTTTCGTTTTGATCGCGTCCACCACAGCTTTGCTCACTCGCATCTGAAAAAGAATTGTGAAAAAAAAAACAAAAAGCAAAAACACGATGAATTTCTTACCCCTCCGGGTTTCATTAATGTATCCTTGGCATTTCACTGCCAGGAGAAATGTCAAAGGCTGTAGCAGGGTTCACTCGAACAACGATTGCTCAATCCAGAGTCCAACGCGCTAACCAGGAGACCACTGTGTTCTTTGATGTGGGTGACCTCAAATCCATCCCAATTAATGAGGTACTTACTTACAATCGCGCGAAATTTTGCATTTATGTTAACCCTTTGCACCCTTATATCAGAATGCATAATCTCCATACTGTTCCCCATACTGTTCTTTATACATTTCCTATGGTACTGACAAGGAGAACTTGTTTACCGATCAAAAGCTTTTTTCGTTGGAGATCATTTCCTTCATTCTCATGACCTTAATGTCGGATTCAGGGGAAATAATGTAGGGAGAAATTAGATACTCGTCACTCTTAAGGTTTAAGGTGTTGACTAATTTATGGATCTTGTACTTATGAAATGAGTCGGAGGGCTGAACGGAAAAATGTGTGGCGCGGGGTCACGAAGTAAGCACTCGAATTTATTTGTTCGTATTTTTTTTCTTTTATATGACCACTGGTCTTTCTCTTTCTTTGCGTTTTCTTTCTGCTTGCATCCAGCACTTCCCCAATTTTAAAATCTTTTTTGGAGAATATCGCGCGGGGCCGAACGGTCGATATGATAAATGAACTTTGAAATGTAACCAAAATTTGAAAAACCAACACCTAACTATTCACAAGTACCTCTGAAAAAAAAGGGAAAACACGAAGATAGCCCTATGATGCCCCCTAAAGAATTATTACCAGTTCTAAGTAGTCTTTACAATGAGCCTTTGTATAGCCCCAAGGAAACATTAACATCTGACTGTAAGAATGGATGTCTAGGAAAGCCACCAATCTTCTCCCCAAGGACTCGAGATACTTGGCAACAGCCTGCACTTCTTCTTCTGACATCGCGCTGTTTCCATGGTAACTGTCACTGCAGGGATGGCTGCTTGCGCCAGGTTCTGAATAATGAAAGAAAAGTAAAAAATTTTGAGAAAGTCAATGTTTGCGTTTTCCAAGATGATTACCTTTTCAGATAATTTCACACAATTCGAATTTCTCTCAAAAGCATGAAAACGCGTCGCAACATGCGGATTTTTTGTGTGAGTGTTATTTGATGTTTGGATATTTGGGTCCATTTTAATTCTCAAAAAAAAAGAGAAAAACAGGAATTTGGTCGACAACGTTTTCCTTTAAATAAAGCACTCACAGGGTTAGCACACCACCCTGTAGCCCCCTACAGCTAAATACGGTAAAAGAAGGAAACATTGGCCGGTGGAAAATAAAAAATAATTGAAATATTTTACCCCACATATTTGGCCTAAAATATGTGACAAAAAGGCGTGTTTCATATACTCTACTATTGTTGTCCTTCTATCTGTAAGCTAATGGTTTCAGCTACAATTTCGTATTTTTTTTTCTTCTGGTAGTTGAGAGAAGACGTTTTACGTACCACCCCACCTGAAACCCCAGTTTCGGTTGAGATCAGCACCAACGCATGGGGAGCCTGGGTTCAAACTTCTACTCTTCCGCCACATGCGGTCCTGTGAACAATAAACAGGTAAATTAAGTGTATTTTGTTTACTAGTTGTTGGATTGTTTTTTCCAATTTACAGCCACAAATTTGTTTCACTTCGTTTTGATTCATCATTCTCATAAGTGCTAGAATTTTTAGCCTCTCTTCAATGGTAATTTCATTTTAGAGAAACAAATTATACTTTTGGGAATTATCTTCATCTCCACAACGTAGTATTGAGATTTCATCATCAATAATACATTACAACGTAGCTATTACTAATGTTTTGAGTAATTATATCATGTATAGATCCTCGTTATCTATTTGTAACATTTCCTTGTACTTCTCACAATTTTACAAGTAATTTACAAATGCAAGTATTTCATTAATCATGATTTCAAGTTCTTTGCTTGAACCTACATCGTGTCGTGTTCCGTTCGCCCTCGCCACTTCGTTATTCATCGCCGGAGGGGGGTAGGGAGAAGTTGGAGGATTTAGGTTGTCACATCAAAATTTTACCTGATTCCCCGATAAGACTCAATAGCAGTAAACTTTCTTTAGTTTCCCTTGATACTCTGTTAGCGGCAACTGATGCCCGCCCGTTCCCCCGTTCTCCCGTTCCCCCGCTCCTCCGTTTCTCCGTTTCTCAGTTTCTCCGTTTCTCCGTTTCTCCGTTTCTCCGTTTCTCCGTTTCTCCGTTTCCCCGTTTCCCGGCTCTCCCGTTCCCCTTTCTCCCGTTCCCCCTTCTCGCGTTCCCCCGTTCTTCCGTTTCCCCGTTCTTCCGTTCCCCTGTTCTTCCCTTTCCCTGAACTCCCTGTTCTTCCGTTCTCTCGTTCTCCCATTCTCCCATTC